ATTTTCTAGAGTTTATATAAATGGAATCATATGCTATGTAATCTTTTTGTCTTCTTTTACTCAGCATAATTATTTTGAAAATCATCCATGTTGTTGTACTTATCAATTGTTCATTTCTTTTTTTATTACTGGGTCATATTCCCTGGTGTGAACGTTCCACAGATTTTTTGGCCCATTCACCTGTTGATAGACATTTGGATTGTTTCCGGGTTTGGGCACTCACAAATAAAGATGCTATGAACATTTGTGTATAAGTGTATGGACATGTGGTTTCTTTTCTCTTGGGAAAATACCTATAAGTTAAATGGCTGAGCAATATGGTGCATGTATATTTATTTAACTTTTTAAAAAAGTCCTGCTAGAAATTCTTGTTCTTCGTGCTTCAAGGATAAAATCTAAACTCTTCAGCACCACCTGCAGGGCCCTCCCTGACCTGGCTTCTGCGCTAGCCTCCAGCCACACTATCCTTTCCTGAGTCCTCCAGTCCTCCCCGTGTGTTCTCCTGGAACTCGTAGAAACTTTCTCAGCACACTCAACTCATGTGTGACCTCTTGCCACTCTGAGTACACAGGGGTCACACAGCGTTTATCGCATGGGATTGTTTTTGTTAGATTACTGCTTCTGATGGCTTCACCTGTGGTACTAGAGCCTGTAGTTTTCATCTTTGCACGTAAACTGCTTTTGTACATCCCGTGTTTTCATTTGGAAAGTTTTCTTTTTTATGTTATAAATAATCTTTAAAGCATCTTCGGAGGTGTTGGTGAAGGTGGTAGATTGAAGATATGGATCTCATTTTGTGCTTTCCTGAAAACCACTAATATGACAGTAAAGAGATTTAAAAAATAGTTTAAACCCACAGAAATGGGAAGAACAGGAAAAAAAAAAAGACAATAATAGAACAATACTGGAGTTTAGGAAGTAGACAGACATGTGATAACTCTTTTAACATGCCAAGGAAAGCTCAATTTGATTAGCAGTAGAGAAAACTGAGAACAACCCTGGATACCACAGGCTGCTTAAAATGCTCCGGAGCTGGTGGCTTGGTATCTCAGTAAGTCCTTCATCTTCATGAAGATTAAATTGATAGGCTGTTTGATATGAATACATGTGTTCAAAAGAGAGAAAAATGGCAGTGAGTTGAATAAATGATAATACCCGAACTCCTAGGAAATGAAAAAGCATGACAATTATTAACTCGGGGAAAAATAAAAAATTGTAATAACTTAATATATGGCTCAGTTCTTCACAGAAGACACAGTCATTATACAGACATATAATTGGATATTGGTATGATCCAAATTACAACATTACTATTTTAAATAATTAATACACAGTCACGAACTGAAAGGAAATGTGGGCCGGGCGCGGTGGCTCACGCCTGTAATCCCAACACTTTGGGAGGCCGAGACGGGCGGATCACGAGGTCGGGAGATCAAGACCCTTCTGGCTAACATGGTGAAACCCCGTCTCTACTAAAAATACAAATAAATTAGCTGGGCGTGGTGGCGGCGCCTGTAGTCCTAGCTACTCTGGAGGCTGAGGGAGGCTGAGGCAGGAGAATGGCGTGAACCCGGGAGGCGGAGCTTGCAGTGAGCCCAGATCGCGCCACTGCACTCCAGCCTGGGTGACAGAGTGAGACTCTGTTGTGACTAAGCGAATTATAGAGAAACGCCACACTTTGAGACAAATTAAAGAGTCCTTTTATTTGCCGGCGTCCGAGAGGCAGCTAACGCTCAAAATTCTTTTTTTTTTTTTTTTTTTTTTTTTTTTTTTTTTTTTTTTGAGATGGAGTCTCGCTCTGTCGCCCAGGCTGGAGTTCAGTGGCCGGATCTCAGCTCACTGCAAGCTCCGCCTCCCGGGTTCACGCCATTCTCCTGCCTCAGCCTCCCGAGTAGCTGCGACTACAGGCGCCCGCCACCTCGCCCGGCTAGTTTTTTTGTATTTTTAGTAGAGACGGGGTTTCACCATGTTAGCCAGGATGGTCTCCATCTCCTGACCTTGTGATCCGCCCATCTCGGCCTCCCAAAGTGCTGGGATTACAGGCTTGAGCCACCGCGCCCGGCCTAACGCTCAAAATTCTCTGGGCGCCAAGGAAGGGGCTAGTTTTGTTTTTATACCGTGGTCTAAATAGGGGAGGGAGGGTTTTAGCTGAAGCAATTTTTACAGAAGCAGAACTGGCAAAAAGTTAAAAAATCAATTGGTTACAAATGCAGTTACAAAAAAAACTAAACAGTTCCAGGTGCAGGGGCTTAAACTATCACAGAGATAAATGCAGAGATTTGGGTGCCATCCACCGAGTGCGTCCCCTGGAGCTGCTGGTGCAGCTTGCCTCAATATCTTATCAGTAGGTGCATTCCTGGACGTGCTTTGAGTCAGTTTTACACTAGGTGTGCCTTAAGGGAGGGAGGTGAAAAGGAGCTGCAAGTGAAGAAACTAAAAATGGAGTCTGACTGGCTCTCTCTCTGCTAGGAGAGAGTCACTCGGGTAAAACAAGGTAGGGTATCACCACTCCCTCTCAAAAAAAAAAAAAGAAAAGAAAAAGAAAATGTGAATGTGTAACAGGAGAGAGTGGCTGGTGGTGGAGGAGAATAGGAAAAGAGCTAAGTTTTTATCTTCCAGAGTAAAAGTTAATTGAGCAGGGCGTGGTGGCTTACGCCTATAATCCCAGCACTTTGGGAGGTCAAGGCAGGTGGATCACTTGAGCCCAGGAGTTTGAGATCAGCCTGGGCAACTCGAACCGCGTGAGACCACATCGCTATTTAAAAAAAAAAAAAAAAAAAAAAAAAAAAAAAAAAAAAAAAAAAAAAAGTTAATTGAAAGGCCCAAACTGAAAAATCCTGAAGCACAATTCATTTAGCAACATAGAAAAAAATATTCCTCCAAAACAGCTAAAAGAATTAGCTTCTGGCCGGGCGCGGTGGCTCAAGCCTGTAATCCCAGCACTTTGGGAGGCCGAGACGGGCGGATCACGAGGTCAGGAGATCGAGACCATCCTGGCTAACACGGTGAAACCCCGTCTCTACTAAAAAAATACAAAAAACTAGCCGGGCGAGGTGGCGGGCACCTGTAGTCCCAGCTACTCGGGAGGCTGAGGCAGGAGAATGGCGTGAACCCGGGAGGCGGAGCTTGCAGTGAGTTGAGATCCGGCCACTGCACTCCAGCCTGGGCAACAGAGCAAGACTCCGTCTCAAAAAAAAAAAAAAAAAAAAAAGAATTAGCTTCTATAAGCGAATTGTTGCTTCTATAAGCAAATATTTCTTTTTTAGAAGGGGAAATGGGAGAGGAGACCTGAGTATTACTTGTCTTTAGCTTACACTAGATAAGCAGATAACTCTAAACTGCATGTACATATGACAGGTGGATGGTAACTTAGTGGGAAAAAAGAAAAGAAGAAAAACAATCTTTGGGGAAAAAAAGAAGAGGAAAAAGATCCCCTAGAGACCCGCTTTCACTTTTGACTTATTTTCTTCCAGTTTCCTCCCTGCTCATTTGTGATTTGTTTTCCCTTTTGCCCTCCCTCCCCTGCCTGCCTTTCTTTCAACATTGCTGTAATCATACTTTATATGAAATTGATAGCTAACTTGTTGAGCACTTAATTGCACAGTAGACTTTGGGTTAATAAGTACTTTATATGCATTACTTTATTTGACCAACCCAATCATGAGTGATTTCTCAACTTATTGTATCATAATTATTTTCTTATTTTAGCATCTGGTCTTCATAATCATCTTTTTCATGGTATAATAATATCCCATGGTATGGAATATTTATCCATTCTCTAACTTATTAGACTTTTAAGTTGTTTTCTAGCTTTTGCTGCTATAAAGAACACTGTGGGGTGGGTGTGGTGGCTCATGCCTATAAATCCTAGGACTTTGGGAGGCTGCAGCAGGAGAATCACTTGAGCCCAGGAGTTCAAGACCAGCCTGGGCAACATAGCGAGATCCTGTCTCTTTAAACAGAAAAGTAAAACAAAAATAAAAACATGGAAGAATATTGGGATTTTATATACATACACATATATATTCTCTCCCAAAGCATCTACATAGGTTTATGCTTTTAGAATAAATTTTCAAGAAGTAAAACAACGACAACAAAAATTTCCAGAAGTAAAACTGCTGGGTCAAAGAGTATCAACATTTTGCCAGTCTTAAACATATTGCCTATATTTAACTATCCAGCGCACTTTTGCATCCTTTAAACTATCATGCCTCATGCAACTCTGAGATCAATATGAAGGAGAGAAGAGAGATTCACCGCTGTTTTAGAGACAAGATCACTGGGAGCTAAGTTTCCAAGCTCATACAGTTGGAACAACGGTCAGAAGTAAAATGCATGTTTCCCTACTTTCTGTTGATTTCTTTTCCCACTGTGCCCCCCAAATGACATGAAACTCAGGCTGAACTGTCTCTGCTACTTCCCTTCCCAGACATCTTAGCCTTTTCCTATTAGGGCTTCTCTACCACAGTCCCTTTTCCATTTGCTGGGGGCTTTTCTGTGTTAGAAGGAAAGTAAGAGCTCTCTAGTGGCCCAAGGACCTCACATCATGAAACCTTCTAAGTTTGGGAATCTTCTATTGCCCTCCCCTCTGCAAAAAATGGAAAAAAAATTTCAAAAAAAAAAAAAAAAAAAAAGGAAACCTTCTAAGTCTCAAGACGAGAAAGTGTGAGACAAGGAAAAGAACAGAGAAACAACGTGGAGTAAGCTCAGTTAGAATCTGGGACAGGAGCCGTGAAAAGATGCACAAGGAGCAAACAGGAGAAAACTGTGGTTTTGGAGGACTTCAGAGCTTAAGATGAAATGTTTGAGCTGAAGACAATAAAGGGATTTGACTTGGAGAGTGTTAGGGTCATGGTATGGCCTTTCTGTACTCAGATATACTTGGAACTGTCTTGAACTGTTAAATCTACTTTGTGATGTCAATTCACTTTTCAAGATAAAACTAAACAATAATTTGTGTTTTCTCTTTTCTTTTTATTTTTCAAATGAATAACCAAAAGTAACTTCAAATGAGCATTTTTCAACCGCAGAAGAAAGTGGGTCCTGCTTTGCCCAACCAAAGCCACGTACACTGGGGAGAGAATCTACTGTTGTTGGCAATGTACAAAGGGAAAGCCATCCTCCCTTACAAAAGCTGAAGGTTTCAGCAGAGCCTACAGCAAATGGTGTTAAACCCCTCCAAGAACAGTCCCTGGCCAAGGACGTAGCCCCTGGAAGGGATGCTGCAGACGAATCAGGGTCCACAGAAAAGACTCAGCCTGGAGAGGGACTGAAGGAATCTGGGCCACCTCAGCCAGGTGGCAAAGAGGATGCCCCAGCAGCAGAAGGAAAGAAGAAAGATGCAGGAGCAGGGACAGAAGCTGAGCCTCTAAAAGGAAATGTGGAAGCTGAGCCTTTAGGACCAGAAGCCAAGGGTCAGCCTTTGGGGACAGCAGGAGAGAAGGACACCCTCAGAGCAGTGGAGGCCACTGAGAATCCACAAACTGCTGCAGAGATGAAGCCTCTAGGAGCAACTGAGAATGTTCTGCCTCTGCAAATAGCTGGAGAGCTACAACCTCAGGGCACAATGGGAAAGGATGAGCAGGCCCCGCTTCTAGAAACAATTTCCAAAGAGAACGAATCTCCAGAAATATTGGAAGGAAGTCAATTTGTGGAAACAGCTGAAGAGCAGCAACTTCAGGCAACACTGGGAAAAGAGGAGCAGCCCCAGCTTCTAGAAACAATTCCCAAAGAGAATGTAACACCGGAAGTATTGGACAGAAGTCAGCTTGTGGAAAAGCCTGTTATGAATGATCCACTCCATAAAACTCCTGAAGGTCCAGGAAACATGGAGCAGATTCAATCTGAAGGAATAGTTGGAAGCATGGAACATCCAGCACGAAATGTAGATACAGGAGCATATGTGGAAATGGTCAGGAACATCCATACTAATGAAGAAGACCAACACATTGAAGGTAAAAGTTATGCTGGCAAACCTTCTGGATGTTTAGATGTGTTCCATAGGAGACCAGCTCTGGGGGGTGGGGTGGGGTGACTGACACACAGTCCCTGAAGTCACTTTCAGGTGGTTGAAGTTCGTTTGAGCAAACCGAAAAGGCTTCTATGCCTGGGAAAGAGGCATTCTATTAATGCTCAGTTTATCAGCAAAACTTTTCCGAAACATCATCTCTGTCCAAAATTTTAACCTAGTGTTTAAATAGTATCTAACTTTGAAGGCAACATGTGAAACTTTCTGAATTTTTCCAAGTTGATGCTTCATCAGGCCCCATGTATGAAATAAGGGTCCAAAGTAAAGGTGAATAGATGATTACTGGAGGAATTCACTTTCCAATGAAATGATATATACATAATGGATCTTAGAATGTTATTTTCATCTTTGTGAAGCTTATCTTAGAAAATGACTGTCAGGACAGGGTGCAGTGGCTCACATCTGTAATCCCAGCACTTCAGGAGGCAGAGAGGGGAGGATAGCTTGAGCCCAGCAGTTCATGACCTGCCTGGACAACATAGTGAGACCTCGTTCTCCAAAAATAAAAATAAAAAAAGAAAATGACTGTCAGTCTGCTCTTGTTCTTCTGTAGTTTTAAAATCTGTATTAGAAGACCAGAGAAAATGTACTATGTCTTAGCATATAGTGTTTTAAAATTTTAAATGTATTTTACCAGCATAAAACAAATGATGTTTACAGTGTTCTTTATTGGTATTATAATTTAAAAAAATATTTTCTTCTGGGGTATGATTTACATTTTGGTAAATTTTGGCTTCACAGTTCAGTATAATTAAGGGAAGCATTCATTATAATCATCCATCTGTTTTTTTTTTTAATTCTTTCATTTTATTTATTTATTTATTTATTTATTTATTTATTTAGATGGAGTCTCGCTCTGTTGCCCAGGCTGGAGTGCCATGGCACAATCTCGGCTCACTGCAACCTCCGCCTTCTGGGTTCAAGCGATTCTCCTGCCTCAGCCTCCCGAGTAGCTGGGACTACAGGTGCACACCACCATACCCAGCTACTTTTTGTATTTTTAGTAGAGACAAGGTTTCACCATATTGGCCAGGCTGGTCTCCAACTCCTGACCTCATGATCCGCCACCTCGGTCTCCCAAACTGCTGGGATTACAGGCATGAGCCACTGTGTCTGGCCAATTCTTTCATTTATTAACTGAACATATGCTAGGTGCTGAGATGCAGACTGAGGAAGAGTTAGTCTCTGTCCTCAAGGGACTCACTGTCTAGTGTGGGAAGGCAGGATGTGTGTGCATCACCATAGTCTGTTGTGGGAATTGCTTTCCTAAGAATGTGTAAGAAGTGCTCTGGGAACAACTTGGGAGAGGCAAATAAAAGCAGATAGTTTTTACATCAGGATTGGCAAACTCAAAAGTCTTTAGGCCTAGGATACTGAAAATGAGTGAGGTGAAGGACACACGTCATATCGTGGGAGCCCAGGGGACCTTGGCAAACAGGAGAGCACAGCCTTTTCAAAAGAGGAAGCTCTGCACAGCTCCAGCCATGGAACTAGAGCCAATGTTGCCAAAGCCAACTTCTCGGGGAAACAGGGTTCTATGTGCAATGTCCAGACTTGTTAGTGTTGGCTGTCTGTAAATGTTTAACGATTGTATTTAAACACATAATGGCCAAGCCAGACAGGTCTGGGGGCACCCCTGGACCACCCTTTGATTTACTTACAAATTAGTCTTGCTTGCTTTCTCTTTTCTCCCTTCCCTTCCCTTCCCTTCCCTTCCCTTCCCTTCCCTTCCCTTCCCTTCCCTTCCCTCCCCTCCCCTTCCCTTCCCTCCCCTCCCCTCCCCTCCCCTCCCCTCCCCTCCCCTCCCCTCCCCTTCCCCTCCCCTCCCCTCCCCTTCCCTCCCCTTCCCTTCCCTTCCCTCCCCTTCATTTCCCTTCCCTTCCTTTCCTTTCCTTTCCTTTCCTTTTTCTTTCTTCAGAGACAAGATCTTCAAGCTGGAGTGCAGTGATGCAATCATAGCTCACTATAATCTCCAACTCCTGGACTCAAGGGATCCTCTTGCCCCACCTCCCAAGTAGCTATAGAACTACAGGAATGTGCCACCATGCCTGGCTAATTTTTTTTTTCTTTTAAAAAATTATTATTATTATTATTGAGACAGAGTCTTGCTCTGTTACCCAGGCTGGAGTGCAGTAGTATTCTTAGCTCATTGTAACTTCTGCCTCCCAGGCTCAATACATTCTCCCTCCTCAACCTCCTGAGTAGCTGGGTGCCACCGTCCCTGGCTAATTTTTGTATTTTTTGTAAAGACAAGGTTTTACCATGTTGGCCAGGCTGGTCTCAGACTTCTAGGCTCAAGCTATCTGCCTGCCTCAGCTTTCCAAAGTGCTGGAATTACAGGCGTGAACCACCACGCCCAGCTGCCCAGCTAATTTTTGAAAAACATTTTGTAAAGACAGGAGGTCTTGTTGCCCAGGCTGGTCTTGAACTCCTGGCCTCAAGTGATCCTCTTGCCTCAGCTTCCCAAAGCATTGGGATTACAGGTGTGAACCATCACACCTGGCCATGAACTTTCTATTGTAATATGTTCTACTGCCATTTCTTTGGTAATTTTGCATCCTGATTTTATAGAGAGAATTTATTTCATAAGAGTATGCCAAGACTCGAGATGTTAATTGACTCGACATCAGCCATTCAGAGGCTCTGAGAGAATCGAGACGATTACTTTTCTTTTCCTTTTTTTTTTTTTTTTTTTGACAGAGTCTTCTGTCTCCCAGACTGGAGTGCAGTGGTGTGATCTCAGCTCACGGCCCAGCTAATTTTTGTATTTTTAGTAGAGACGCAGTTTCATTACTTTGGGCTAGGCTCCTGAACTCCTGACCTCAGGCAATCCACCTTCCTCGGCCTCCCAAGGTGTCGGATTACAGGTGTGAGCCCCTGTGCCCAGCCGAGATGATTACTTTTCTTGATACCTCCAGATAAACTTACTGTTCAGACCTAAAGATCAAGAACTGCCCCCCATTGGAGACAAACTGTGGGATAATTTATGTTAACTCTAAATAAGTGTCTCTTAGTATCTCCTTTGGTTACTTTTCCAGGTGAGACAGGGGAAAAGGTGGAAACAGAGATGGAGAATGAGAAAGTGAGGGAAGGGGCTGAAACCAAAGAAGAAGAAACAGGAGAAGCGGTGAACCTTTCAACAGCCAAATAGATAGAAGAGTGAACCCACACAGCGCGTTATCACAGAGAAGACAAAAATGGTAGTGAAGCTTGTGGTTATGTATCTTATCTTTCTACATTTACATGTTTTCTGTAAGGAGTGCGGTTATAGAGAGACTGTTGGAACCATAAGAAGAATGTTTCCATGTTCTTGATTATATTGTTCTACAAAACTGCTAAGCCATGAACAGTTTTCTTAGCTACTTAGAATGGTTATACATTTAAAACGATAAAAACCAAAGCCAATAAAAATTATGTGATTATTTAAGAGTGTGAGGGTGACTTTCTTCATTGTGGCCATGGGGTCATTCAGTATAGAAAATGGGACCCTAAAAATGAAGTGTAAACCTTTAGGTACAGGTAGCTAGAGAAAGGAATTAGCGAATTTTAGGGAACTCACAATAATAAAGTCATACAGTCATAATCATGATGGAATGAGAATGAACAACAGCAAAAATAGGATGAGCTATATCAAATATTTCTGTTTTGTTACAGAATTCAGAACTGATAAGAACCTTAGGAAATATGTCATTTACACACTTGCTCTCCTTTAAGGTTGTCAACTACCACAGATCCTTATTTATCATGGAATATTAAATATGTTAACAGAATCCTTTGCAAAGGATGGCAAACTCTGGTGCTATCACAAGGTTAGGCATTTTTCATGACGAAAGGCTACACATTTTCCATGTGCCATTTTGAATCAGCTATTGATTTTCTACTCACATGAGGTTTTTCAATTGTTATCCTTTTGAATAATATTAAAAGTATTTTAAATTAATTCACTTTTAAATGTATTTTGGAGACAATAAACAGTAAGGATTAAAACCTAGATTGTTGTTTATGTAGAGTCTACTCCTGGGCTCTATTCTTTTTTTTTTTTTGATATGGAGTCTTGCTTTGTCACCCAGGCTGGCGTGCAGTGGTACGATCTCGGCTCACTGCAATCTCCGCCTCCCGAGTTCAAGCAATTCTCCTGCCTCAGCCTCCTGAATAGCTGGGATTACAGGCGCCCGCCACCATGCCCAGCTAATTTTTGTATTTTTAGTAGAGGCGGGGATTCACCATGCTGGCCAGGCTGGTCTTGAACTCCTGACCTCGTGATCTGCCCGCCTTGGCCTCCCAAAGTGCTGGGATTACAGGTGTGAGCCATTGCACCCAGCCACTCTATTCTTTTTTAGATGACTGCGATTTAATGGTAGGCTTTAGCAGTGGAAAAAGGCTAAGAAATCAAGATTTTAGAAACATTTATGACATTTCTTTAGTGATGCACCACAGAGTCAGTTTTTGAGAATTCTTCTGAAGTTGGCAAGGGATTTTGGCAAGTGATTGTATGTAAGTAATGAAAATAATAGCTAACTTACCCACCAGTGAGTGCCTTGTGTTTTTGAGTATCAGAATAGTATTCTGGAAATATTTTGTTTATTTATCTTGTTTGTAAATATGTATTTTTCTTTTACAAAAAATCCTGCTGGCCGGGCGCAGTGGCTCAAGCACTTTGGGAGGCCGAGAAGGGTGGATCAGGAGGTCAGGAGATCGAGACCATCCTGGCTAACATGGTGAAACTCTGTCTCTAGTAAAAATTACAAAAAACTAGCCAGGCGAGGTGGCAGACGCCTGTAGTCCTAGCTACTCGGGAGGCTGAGGCAGGAGAATGGCGTAAACCTGGGAGGTGGAGCTTGCAGTGAGCTGAGATCCGGCCACTACACTCCAGCCTGGGCGACAGAGTGAGACTCTGTCTCAAAAAAAAAAAGAAAAAATCCTACTATTTCCTAAATAAACATATATTTTTAAGGTAACTGCTCAGATGAATTAACTAGTCTCTTTATTTTTATTTTTTATTTTTTGAGAGAGGGTCTTGCTTTGTTGCCCAGGCTACAGTGTAGTGGGGTGATCATGGCTGAATGCAAGCTTGACCTCCTGGGTTCAAGCAATCCTCCCACCTCACCTGCCCTGAGTAGCTGGGACTACAGGCTTGTGCCACCATGCCTGGCTAATTTTTGTATTTTTAGTATAGACAGGGTTTTACAATGTTGCCAAGGCTGGTCTCGAACTCCTGAGCTCAAGCAATTCACCTACCTCAGTCTCCCAAAGTGTTGGGACTACACGCATGAGCCACTCAGCCTAACTAGTCTCTTACTTTAGCTTCTACATTAAAATAACTACTAAGATGGCCTATAATTAATTATAAGAATACAGGATACAGGGAAAAATACATTCTCTTGATTCTGATTTTAATATTCATTTATGTTCTGACTGTAAAGTGCCAAGGAAGACAATAAAAGGAGCTCCTTGAGGAGATGACATCATCCTTTCCGCAAAGTGAAGGCACTGGACTGTGATTGCATTGAAAGCAAGCACTGTGTTTTATGCATTTTTGAATTCAGGCATTTAGCTCCTTTAATGGAATGTGGTAGGTACTTGATAAATATTTGTTGAATCAATAAATGAATAACAAATACCAAGGAGTCCCATTTAAACTTAATTCATTAAAAAGTAATACATATGAAAATATAAATTTGGCCAGGCATGGTGGCTCACACCTGTAACCCCAGCACTTTGGGAGGCCAAGGCAGTGGATTTCTTTTTTTTCTTTTCTTTTTTTTTTTTTTGAGACGGAGTCTTGCTCTGTTGCCCAGGCTGAAGTGCAGTGGCACGATCTCAGCTCACTGCAAGCTCCGCCTCCTGGGTTTATGCCATTCTCCTGCCTCAGCCTCCCAAGTAGCTGGGACTACAGGCGCCCGCCACCTCGCCTGGCTAGTTTTTTGTATTTTTCAGTAGAGACGGGGTTTCACTGTGTTAGCCAGGATGGTCTCGATCTTCTGACCTCGTGATCCACCCGTCTTGGCCTCCCAAAGTGCTGGGATTACAGGCTTGAGCCACCGCACCTGGCCGGCAGTGGATTTCTTGAGTCCAGGAGTTCAAGACCAACCTGGGCAACATGGTGAGACCCTGTCTCTACAAAAAATATAAAAAATTAGCTGGGCATGACGGCATGTGCCTGTAGTCCCAGCTACTCAGGGGGCTGAGACTCAAATCATTTATTTTCATAAAATTTTGGAAATTTATAAGAATTTCTGGTAGTTTCTCTACTTTTGTCTTTATCCTTTAATGGGGTTACTAAAACATTTTTGGAAACTTTTAAAAAATTCTTTTAGATAATATTCAGTTTTAACATTAAAAACCTATAAGAAAAATGTAAATATTTCACAATATCTGAACATTCCAATATTTAAATAGTCCATCAAAATAAGCTGTTAATTTTAAAAAGTAATAGGTACGGTAAAAGTCAAATACAGAAGGGTATAAAATAGGTAGTGAAGTTTCCTTCCCATATCCTTTAGTCCTTCCATGAAAAAATAATATTTCTTGTGTATACTTCCAGAAAAAAAGGGTATATGTATATACCAGGCTATATGTATATGCTAAAATATAAGTGTATATTTACATATCTACATTTTAACTTTTTTATAGATGGGGTTTTGCTATGTTGTCTATGCTGGTCTTGAATTCTTGGCCTCAAGTGACCCTTCTGCCTGGGTCTCCCAAAGTGCTACAATTACAGGCATGAGCCACCACGCTCAGCCTACATATCCACATTTTATTTTATTTTATTTTATTATTTATTTATTTATTTTCCCATCATCAATATTTATTGAGCATTTACAGTGTATTAGGCACACTAGAACATACAGAAGACATTGTTCCTGCTCTTGAGGAGCTTACATTCTAAAAGAAAAAATACACCTCTTTTAAAATGGCATTTTTGTTTGGTGTTTTCTGTAAAGTACTGAGGAAATGTTTTGTTAAAGTGAGCTTTGGGTATAACTTAGCCCCATCATTATTTAGAGAAGAGAGGAAGAAAAGAGGAAGGATTTTAAAGGCAGACAATGACAGACCATTCAGGATAGGTAGGGTTTTAAAGGGAGATAAACACAATCTCATAAACTAAAGAGATATTTGCTGCAGTAAATAGGATAAGGGAAATAGTCTGTGGGGTGCAAGCAAAGGAAGCAGGGTGCCTTAGACATTGAGTGGAGCCAGAAAGATCATGTGGCCTTTTCCCAAGTACATGGCCACCAAGTAGGAATGGTTGGTGACAAGACAGAAGGCTAAAAAAGGAAGGTAATCTTGTGCACCTGACAAATAGAAAGACTAAAGGATCAAAATCAAAGACAGGCTATAAAAGTATCAAGAAATTCTTAAAAACCAAAAAGTGATTTGGAAGCACAAAACTTATAGTTAATGCTACCCAGTGTCATGATGGGCCAAGAACATTGTGGCTTCCTAAGTTAGAAAATGCCATATACCAAAATTTTAAATGGAATTCCAATCAATCTCCCCCTCTCTCAGAAAAAATAGGAACTCATTTTTTTCAGTGTGGGGAGGAAGAGAGGGGATCATGGGACATGGAAACAGTAGTTATATTAGTAGTATTTTTGTTGTTATTTTGTGTTTAAACTTCGTAAAAGCCCATTAGCTGCCAAGAGGGAATAAGGAATAAATTTCAAAAATTGTACAATTTCCTTTAGAGAAGTTTCAGAACCAAAAGACTAACTTACATGCAAAGCTGTAAAGTTGAAAAGTCCATTCATAAAACTTTTATTCCACTTACATGAATTTAATACACGTGTTCTTAACGATTATGCTTGGCTTGTTCATGAAAATTTCATAAGACATTAAACAAAGCTAGCCATCATCTCAAGGTATTTCCCTGTTAACTATTTTTACAGCACATGCATGTTAGGCAAGTATCAAAAAAGAAAAATCACGAAAGCAAAAAACCTAAAAAAATGTTAAATACATGGGTTTTTGTTTTACTGCTGTGCTTGATATACATGAAGTAATGAATACCAAGCAATTCATTTTTACTGCATCTTTACTTTTACATTTGTTCTTAGGTTGCCTAAAACATTTAAATACAAATAAAATGAGTGTAGCAAAAATAATGAAAGCTAACAGCAGGTAACTTTACAAATAATGGAATGTGAACCGTTTCTGCCCTTATCCAGAGTAAAATGGGTCACAACTTTGTCTAAAGGAACACTTCTGCAGCTGTAGTCAAAGGTGTGCACATTGAGATTGAGTGTTCCACAGATACACATGGTTTAACCTGTGGTGTCCATGGGGTATGTTTCTACTACAGCCTTCTAAGTGCTCCAGACCTTAAAGTACCCACAATTACTACACCTGTGACTGGAACCAATGATCCCTTTTATTCCCCACCAGGACAAACCAATATGTAGGCAGTTTTCTTTGCTTAGACAT